AGCGGCAATCCCGGAGCATTGCCACATGCCTTCCCCAGGCAAACCCAGCTAGGGACAGCTCAGACCCGAGTCATCAGTGCTCCCAGGGACAGAGGCTCGATTCCCATTGGAAAAGCTTCCCTGAGAACAGGCGGAGTTCAGATCAGTCAGGCCTGCAGAGGAGTCACTGGCTGGGGGATTACAGGGAACGTTTGCCAGGCAGGTCCCAAGCAAAGCAGGCATGCGGGAAGGAGGAGCTGCTGCTGCAGGCGGGTGCAGGGACAAGCCGGGGTAAACTCCCCTCCCCCTGCAAAGCACTGTGGTAGATTCACTATACAGGAACATTAACTTTACCAAAGGCCTTGGAAGTTTAACCATTCTGTAAGAGAAGTAATAATAAAAAAAAAAAAGCCCATCAGATGACTCAGAGCCACCAGTGCAACCCATGTACCGCTGTGCGAGCCCTTCCGGGAAGGGAAGTCTTCTCCAGAAACAGAGGAGCCCTGACTCAGAGATTTCTTGGAAATGTGCGAAGACTTATTCAAGCTTCTTCCCTAAGTGACAAGTTCGCTCAAAACCAGGCACAGAGTTTCTCTGACCAAAGCAGAAGGAAGAATCCTGAGGTGCCGGTGCAGCCCCATACTGCCGGAAGGCACCTGGTGAAGTACGAACTCACTAAGCAAGCTGTGCTTCGCAAGCTGGGAGACATGAACACCTCCGGCAGCCCCTGCTGAACTAGCAACCCACTAGAAAACCTCCTTCCTCAGCCAAACTTGCCAATTAGTTTAATCCCAGGTATGTGAGCAAGTCACAGCCAGTGCTTGAGAGGCCATAGTGCTAAAAGGGACCTCAGTACACCTCGCCTACATCCCGCATCTTGCCTCATCTAGCTGTGGCCACTCTCCAACTTCTCAGGGACAAAAAAGGCTTCCACAGGCCAAGTCATACATCAGGGAAAGCAAATTCCTTCCTGGCCCCCCCAGGCAGCCAAGGAAACTCTGAAACACAGGATTCCAGCAACGTAATTACAGTGCAAGCAAGCAACAAGCTGGGCTTTCTTTAAACCCTTCTGATGCATCAACACATGCGATAGCCAAGGACTCATCTCTGGGAGTTCCCTGTTTGGTTACATAAACATCAACTTCAGCTTAACCCTTTCACGCTGAAGCACAAGCCACATCCACCAGGAAAAAAACGTGCTCCAGCCCAACATCCTCATGGCATGGGCACCTACAGCAGGGCACAGCGCAGAAGAGCCTGGAAATCCAACTGCAGCACTCCGCCAGCACCTAAGACTGCATCGCTCTCCCAGCATAGAGCCCAGTACACGAGTTCTTGACCTTGGGCTGCTCCCATGAAGTCAGGCAGTCATTACCCTTAAAATCACCGTCAGGTGAGATGCGTATTGTATTACGAGATTTTACTTTTTGTTTATAGCTTATGTTACTATGTACACTTGATTTTCCATAAATCCACTGCAGGACTTTCCTCATGCGCACAAAGATTACTGCATGACTCACACACGTGCTGACACTTTTGTTACAGTGAGGTGTGGTTGCTGCTTTTAACGATAATCTACTCATCAAACTCTAACTAGATAGATATATATTGAAGTTATCTACATATACTGCCATGCTAATGTTACTATCATTTGTATCATGAAAGCACACTGACAGACACCGTAAGTTCACAAACATGCACCCAACTAACAAAAAAAGACTGTGTCACATAGAAGATTACAATGGGCCTGGAGCCTCCTCTGGTCTAGCAAGAGCTCGCAGCTGGAGAGTTCCCAGGCACGAGTGAGGCGCATGCTGTAAAAGTCCAAAGCACCACCGAGTCTCTGCAGACAGAAAACACATCCCTTATTTAGGCTAAGCACAGTGGGCAGTTCAGGCAAAATCAATAGGGTTGCCCTTAATCAAACAGCAGCTAAGTGCCTACAAGGCTTTCCTCTGCGTGGTTTCAAAAGGAGATGATTCTGTAATATCCTGAGGATAAAAAGCAGCTGAACATGACGGTGCTTTTAAGTAATGCGATTATGTGACCAAACCATCAGCACGGATGCCACAGAGAAAAAATAAAAGGATGTAGCACAAACACTCCAGCACCGGGGAAACACGTCCTGCATCCCAACCAGGGCTGCTTGCCAGCAGGTAAGCCCTACTCTGCCCCATCCCTCAAGTTACACCCCACCTGGGCTGCAGGCACCCCACAAACCCAACCACCCTCCATCTGCACCCAACTCGTGTCCCTTATGCGCCAAAGGGAGCCTGTTGTCCCGCAGCTCAGCCCCACCACACCGGGCACTGGCCTCTGCTCCAAGCTCTCTGCCTCCCTCTGGACATGGGATTACAGCCTGAGACTAGAGCCCAAGATGCCTAGCACACCTATACGTAGCCGTGTATATTAAGCCTACATGTTAAGACTCTAAACTAGCAAAGAACTGAATTATCAACACCAGTGCAGCACATTCACATCCACAGCCATGGCAGGCGGAGAGAGCAGTTGGCTGGGAACAAGACGAGCCCAAAACACCTCATGTCAGGGAGAAAAGCAGCGACACAAAGCCGCTGTGCCACAGGCTCCCTCCAACAGGAACAGACAAGACCTTTAGCGCTCTCACGTACTGTGGCAGCAAAGCTCCCAAAGGCCACAGCCAGAGCCAACAGGTAACAGAAACAGGTTCTGAATGCAGGAAATCCCACAGCGTACCTCCTTCTCTTCTTCAGGCGAGCTCACACAGGGAGGACGGGACAGGTTTCTGTAGCTAGCTCCAGCTGTAATACTTTATGGTCTTACTCATTCTCACTTAGAGGTACAACCTTCAACTACTCACCGCTGAGACACACGAGACTCCTCCTCAGAACAGAGGTCCGAAACTACTAAATTAAGAAACCCCTGCTCAGACTGAAAGCGAAATCAGCACCAAACACAAGCTGTTTGCTCCCTCAGCAAGCCCTGAACCTGCCAGCGAGCCGCAAAAATAGCTACACTGTCAACAAAGTCCAAATCCCCACCAGCGCTGTCAGCGGGGAAGAAAACGACAAAGCAGTTTTACAAAGTGATTTTTTAAACCCCTTTTTTGCCGCGATACGCAAAATCCCACCCTTCGCGGGTGAGCGGCCGCTGCACCGGCAGCACCCCGACCGACCGGCCGGCCGGCCGGGCCGACCCCTGAGGAAGGCTCCCCGGAGCGGCCGGGAGCTCGCCCCGCAGGCCCCCGCGGCGGTCCCGGGCCACCGGCTCTCCCGAGGCCTCGGCCGGGCCCCTTCCCGGGCTGCGGGCAGCGGGCGGGCTCCGCC